AATTTGATTTAACCGTGACTGCTTATCAGGATATTGGCTGTGGGAAGCGAGAAGTACTGCTGTATATCCTCCATTATTCGGGCCTGGGATGCAATTCTTAATGAGAGTAGGTCTTCAGCGAAACTTGCCGCTTGTACCGATCAACTTTCCCAGTTGCGGCAATAATAAGGGCATAGATTTGATTTTTGAGAGCTGAATAGCTTTAGAGTATCTTTAGTGTGCGTGCGTGCGTGCGTGCGTGTAAATATTTATATATACTATATAATAATATGTTTATGCAACAATATACATATATGGCACAATATATAGTTAGATATTGTTGAGTCATAATAGTCATTATTATACAGAATAATGTACCCTATTTATTATGCATAGAATAATGTCGAGTTATTATCAATTTTTATCAATCGACGCAAGTGTTTTATTATAATTATCATTTTGCTCTGCGCACATGTTAATCTAGGTAGTAAAAAGGAGTTTATAATAAAATTTTCCAAAGTTTTGAGCCTTTATTTGTATCATCTTTAGTACAGTCTTAAGGTATTATAAGCCAATCAGAGCTCCGTATATTAGTATTAAGACATTATTTAAGACGATCTTAAAATAAGAACCGATTATGAATATCGCCATAGACACATAATGATGCGTATGCCTTAATCCTGGATTCGCATTTTCGAATCTGTAAAAGAAAAAAAATTTAATAATAAATTAGCGAAATATTTATTAATATGGAAGTTATAGGCTCTTATTATTAAAATAAAAAATAATTAATAAAATCATGGCATGATTACTCGGATGAAATATTTATATTAATATCTTAAATTTTTATTAATTGTCGGTAATGTCACAATTCTTCAATTATCCCCGGAATCCAAAAATTTGTCCAGGATCGATAATCTTTAATAGTATCTCATTGGTGTCTGAATCGAAATGCCAACAACTTTCGTATTGGCTATTTTCCACCATTTAAGATCTGTAGTCCAATAGGCGCTTAGTATTAATGGTATATAGTACGGTAAGTAAGTCGAAAATGGAGGACTTTGTGCACTACTTTGATATGTATCTAGAGCTTTAATTCACTGTGCTGTACCATTGGTTTGTTTTCTGTTCCTGCTACATTGCACTAGCACGTTTTTTCTCACTTTCAACAAATATCAAATATATATCTATCTCACTTCAAATTCTAAAAGTACTAGTAATAGTACTTCAGCCACTGAAAACAAACCTCATCTGTGTCTCTTTTTGGAAACAGTTAGAAAACTCTCAATACGTTTCTGTGAGAAAACCTAATTTTTAAGTTTGAAATTATTTTGAATTATTCGATGGCTGAGGACAAAAGTGTGCTGTTTGTAAGAGGAAATGGAAATGTACGTAGATCCTTTACTTAATTCGATTATTTTTATCGTCACTTACGTTTAACCCTTCTCAATTTTTGCATTTTGTTTTCTCATTTTTCACGTGAATATATTCTGAATATTCCTTTAATTTTAATAAACGTCAAAGATGTAATATACAAAAATACATTCGAAAAGTATACAAGGATGAAAAAATTTCTTGATTTTAAGAAAACTATTGTTGTTAATAGAATTCTTGGTTGTTAAAATTTTTAATTATATAGAAGTAGGATACAGAAATTATAATAATAAGAATTTAGATGTAAGATAATAAAAATAAACATATATCAAAATTATGTAAAATACTAACAATTTGTAGAATGGTGGGAATGAAGATATCTGGGATGATACTGCATTAATACAAGCATATGATAGAGCTGTAAATTTGGCCAAGGAAGAAGTAGCGAAACGTATTGCTATGGACATGCAGACTCAGCAAACAAAACACAAGTCAAATTTAAAACATTTAAATCATATTAGAAAACCTTTAAAGGTATGTTATATTTATATATCAAAAATATATTCAAATCAAAAACTAAATAATTTTAGACTCTTTAAACTTAAAGTTAATTACATTAATGGAACGGACACATAAAAATCAAGCTCGGTAGAATGCAAAAATCATTTATTCTAGACGTTCTTCTATAAATTGGCAGATGTTCTTCTTATAATTCACAAACATTTCGGCTTTCTTCCGAATCATCATCAATTCTGCTTTACTTTCACAACTCCCTTATGGGGAAGTATTGAATGAATATGAATATCGCTCATGCTGGTTGCCAAAAATATATTTATGTATCAGAAATATTTTTGGTATTCTTGCTGTATTGTAGAAATGGACAGTTGGTGCTCCTTGCCGTGCTGTATACTCTGTAGATGGGGAAATATACGAAGCTATTATATCAAAAATTTATCCAAATTCTGGCATGTGTACAGTGAAGTTTGTTGGTAACTATTTTATATTCACATATATTTATTATATATAATATTTTATATGTTCTTGTATCATAATTATATACAATATTAAATAATATTTGGTAATTAGTGTATATAATCAATATATACATTAATATATATTAATGACTAAGACAAATTAGGTATACGAAGTTGCTTGCATGCATATACTTACGTAAAATAAGTAATGATATTTAAAAAGTACTTATAATTAGAATAAGTTAATTAAAACAATTTTTAGTGGGATAATTTTTATAGCAATTATTTTTATATTATTTGCAGGCTATCAGAATACAGAAAAAGTGGAGATAAATTCTCTTTTGGAATCTGAAGGATTACAAAGTCAAATTGCTCAACAAAAGGATGCATTAGCACAAAAGGCTGATGAAGAAATCATAGATTCTGATACATCCACCCATTTTAATCTACAGGATTCCAAACAAATTAATAGCGAAAAAATGGATTGTGATACAGAGAATCCTAGATCATTTAAACATAATACTATACCTGGACTTGAATATTTTAATCCAGCGATAGATGCAATGCCACCCGCACCACCCTTACCACCATTAATGACCAAGTAAGAATAGTAATTTAAAGATTCAAGAATTCTTTCATTGTCATAACTATGAAATTGCCATATAT